TCTTATGACCAGACTCGCCTAAGCCAGTATGGACATGATTACTTGAAAAACATAAATCATTAACATTAAAGACAAGACTGTTAACTTCTCTAATTGTCATTATATATATTCAATACGTATAATTTTTGTAAAAAAATAGATTTTTGGAAATTTCACTTTTCAGAAACGGGCTGATCCGACAAGTGATAACGGTAATAAATTCTATTTAATCATATAATATTGATATTTGACTCATGTGTTAGAATGAGATTTTGTTATAATACTGTGATACATAAAGAAAAGTACGTGTAAAATTAAAAATAAAATTGAAGGTTAAAATAGGTTAAAATTAAGAATATTACTAACTATAACTGGCAGTGATTATCACCGGGGTCTATATCAAACATCTACTAGCTAATTCAAGTCGGGATACTAAGCAAAAAAGTTCGAAGCTTCCAAAAACCTAACTCTAACTAAAATAGCATAATGGAAGTTTTTTTTGGATAATCTACACAAATTTTGATTGGCCAAAATTAAAGATACACACGTTATTTCTAATAAAATTCGTAAAACGATTAATTTTTTAATCTAATCATCTGCTCTTGCTCACGTGAAATTTGAAACTTTTATTCAAAAAGAAATTTGACCTTTATTAGTTACTTCGCTTTAAAAACTAAAAAAACTCATATTTATAATATCATACTACGGTATGTTTTAATATTGTCAAAATGGTTTCTAATAAAAGTTGGTAGAACACTTGATCTCACTTGATCTCCGACCGACGTTTATATGAAAGTTAAGCATCCAAAAAATAATCTGACAAAATTTTAAGCGCTTTGATTAGAAAAATTTGACTGTTTTATTTAGATAAAAATTTCTATTGTAAATATAATTACTTGTGTAAAAATATATAAAATAAATAGCCAATTAAAACGAACTTCCAGTATGCTAACTAAAATTTGAATCTTTATATCCCTAAAAATAAGTGGCGGTGATGATCACTAGTGTTGTCACGTCTACGTCCAAATGTCTAGTGTCCACGATTGTCCAAAGAATATTTAGGCTTTAAAATTTAATAAATTAGTTTAAAAAAGATATGACCATATATTTTTTATAGTTCTGAATATTTTTGCTTAAAAGATTAAAATAGGTTATCTTAAAATTTTGTGTTTTTTTGTTTAAAATTGTTCGCAATTGTCCGTGACAACCGCCAGGTTTTTAGAAATGCAAAAATAGACACAACTCAAGTCAGCTTAAGTTGATCCAAGTCAAGCTTGAGCAAGCAAAATTAATTTAAGTTTTGAGCATGTCAATAAAATTTTAATAAATCAAATTTCAAAGATATAAAATAAAACTAATTTTCACCTGGGATGTTATCGTCTTTATATACGTACGTATATATAATTTTATAGATCTATAAAAAATTTTAAAATTTTATTAGGGTTAAAATTAAAGATTAGGTGCCGAATATTTCTACTTAGTATACCCGAGACCAATTATCTAGGCTGTTGTTACAAAAGTAATTGATATCACCACACGTGTGAGTTTGTAACACTAAAGAAAATAAATATTATAATGTATAACAGATGTAGATATAGATTTTTATTTCCCAATCTATATGTTCAAATTTTATGAATGCGAAATGCGACGTAACTAATCAACGAACATTAAGATCAATTTTGATTAATGAATTTCTTTAGTGCGTTCAAGCTGACATGTACAACAAAATTACTTGCACCACGAAAAACATTAGCTATAATAAATTTGCTTGTCTAGATATGCAATACATTATCTAATTAAAATGTGAGATAAGGAAGAAGGAATACTCTAACAATAGATCTAGGCCTGAATAATGTAATATTGGTTAATGCCATTTTTTTAAATTACTATGTTAAATACATGTTACACTACATTTAGATCAAAATTGTAATGATTAGTTTTGCTAAACTGCGTCTTATCCAAAACAAAGCGTATTTATATTTACAAATTATAAAAAACTTATGTAGTTGTGTCAATCGCACAATAAAAAAACAACTCATTGTATTGCTCTTTAGCCCTAAACGATCAAAACACCCACCAATCTATTTTTTATAATTACATGGCACCAAAATGAATTACGTGTGAAGCTTTCTTCCTTTCCAACTCATCTTCTCTCTACAAAAACAAGATTGTTTTTAAAAACATATTAAGTTAAATTCAAAACTTTCAAATAAAAATAAAAAACCAAACCTTCTCCATCCAATTCAAAATAAATATAATGATCGCCATAACAACCGTAGATATTACTAATACTAATAATACCCATGGTATCCAGTCACCCGGATGAATAAATAATTCCAGCTCCCAACTGTAATCAAAAAATGTTATTATATTTCTCGAAATACTACATACATTATCATATCGAAACCATATAAGAAACGTAGACTTACGAAGAAGGATCAAAAAAGTCTGGAGGTTGATAAGGTATAATGATCAACTGAGAATTTGGAATCACACCAGAATATGATGTATAGTATAAAGTCTATTATACGTAAAATTTTATTGATTTATTATCTTTGTTAGAAAATATATGGCATAGATCTTCGTTTAAATCAATAATAACATGATAAAGACCTGATTACGTGTAGATCCAGCAAATAATAATTCGACATAATTATTTGTACGTCCAAGACCAAAAAGTGAATAAGGTGTTTGTAAAGCTTGATATGCACTTTGAGGATATTGCGCAACTAAAGATTTTCCAAATACAATTATTTCGTTAGTTTCACTTTTTAAAATTTCAGAAATTAAATGGACAAGCACCTTGGTTTGCTCTCAAAATTCCCGACGTATCAAGAATGGTAAATTTGTATGATGCACCGGAATAGCTTATACCATATCCCTGTTATTTTAGCACAAGGATGTGTAAGCAAGTAGTAGATATTTAAAAGCAATACATACAGCAAGGTAAAGAAATCGTACCTGTTTTTCTGCAACTCCGTTTAACACTTTATAAAACAAATGAATTAGTTCAATTCATGTGCAACATCAAAATAAAAAGTATATAAACTGATATTCTTACGTACTTAAAGTCTTAACAAAGAACGCGTCATTGAAATAATTATTGTGAATCATATTAACTCTTTTAGAAGTCGACGATGCTGATTTTAAAACCAAAATATCCAATGTTCCCTGTAAAATATGAAAGTTAAAACAATATCATCTAATATAATTCAATAATAGATTTCAGGTATTTACATCTTCATCAAGATCCATAAATGCAGCGGATCTAGCGTCTGTGATGTCATTTAGGGCAGAGGCTCCATCTACAACTCTGGTAAATGTACGCCTTTGAGACTCAACTTCCAATGAATTACATTTTTGACTTGTGCAAGAGACTGACTGAAATAATGATGCTCGATATGTAGAACCAGATGAACTAATTACAAGAATATCAGGATATCCATCAAAATTATAATCCCCTGAAAGAATTATTAAACAAAGATTTAATATGAATGCGATGCAAATATGAAATATTATGTAAATGCTAATCTACCAATTCGAATCGGAATGGGTAAATTTCCTTCTTTTGTTACGATAACTCCATCATCTGGTAATTCGTTCGAGATATCTATTATAGAATATGTCTGTTTAAAATACAAAGGAAATTAATGTTATCATTATGTTAAAATGAAATTTGAAATATCATAGTTCATAACTAACATAATAATCATACTTGATTTGAAGATGTTTGTATATTAAAGGAAAAATTGTTATCCGCAACACATAAGCTTGTTGATTGACGACATCCACTTTCTGAACCAGAACACAATGGTATTTGTTTGTTATATGCAATATGAATTTTACAGGTGCCACCAGAAGAACAGACCGGATAAACCATGTCTATCGTTCCATCTCCGTCTAAAAAATTTTCAAATAATTTAATATAAATTTCAAGATTATTGCTTCAATGAGGTACTAACCCATATCTGCGAAAGATATTTGTCCTGTTCCATCCGGTAAATTTCCAGACTGACTAAATGTAAATCCTCCCTTTATATTTGTCCATATTTGATATGTTAATGGTGCACTAGAACTCTCCCTGCACGTGAGGAACAAATCTAGAAAAATAAAATATAGTATAATGAATTCTAATTTAAATCGAATTTTGTTATCCACGACATCTAATTAATGCATACCGGCCAAACAATCGCCGTTAAGATCTATAAAAGCATTCGAATGTGGATCTGATATTGTACAATTTTGAAATGCGCCATTCACCGGCATTTGAACTCTTAGGAATTATAACAATTTCAAAATTATTAAAATATTAAAATAATAAACTACAAGAAACAAATAGGATCCTCACACTTCGAATAATGTTCTGGTTGTTGCATTGAATACATTTTTCCATATTGAAATATGTGAACTATCACCAAATTGATGCCCAAGTAAATCAACCTTCATACTTCCATAAAAATCGAGTGGAATAGGTTGCTGTGCGGTAGATGAGGGAACGTTGTAATAATTAGGGTCTATTAAATTAAAAACATAATTAAAATATATCTCTTAACACCTCTTAACATTAATACGTTAATGAATAATAAATCTTACTCGATATCAGCACTCGGGAAAAACTCACCAAATGTACTATTTCCAGTACCCATATAAACGCGCATATAAAGTTGTTTAGAAGAGTCGCCCGGGCTCACTTGACCCATAACCAAAATATCCAAGATACCGTCATAATTATAATCTCCTGGTAATACGTTTGTAATTAAGAAGCCTGCATTATTTCCGTCAGTAGATATTTTTATGTCTGCTGATGGCGCCTTAGTAAATTTGTAGGAGTCTATTAACATAATAAAAAAAGAAATATGACTAAATTGACAGCACTTGAAAAAAAAGCGAAATTAATTAAATTAATACCATGATCCCAAAGGTAAATGCTGATAGTTGTCTGATCAGCACTTAAAACTATTAAATCTGTGCTAATGATAAAGAATTATTTGAATTTAATTTATAATAATTGACAAGGAATTTGAAAGGAAATCACTTACTATTTATCTGAATTGAAATCTGCGAAAGCTACTACAGTTCCACTTATATCGTTTAAACCAATATTATCGACCGAGTAAAGAGAACTCGACGTATATCTCGCAGTTTGAAACCATGAAACTGCTTCAGTATGAAATATTAATAATACACTATACACAAAGAAAGTGACTAAACTTTTTATAATTTTCGAGGTCATTATTTATGACATAGTTGTTAGTAGGGTTCTTAACTAAGTTGATATTGTATAAAAAATCTGCTTAGCTGGCTTAGCATGATAGAAATTTGTTTTATTGGTCGATTGAAAAAGTACGGTTACACAAATTTTTTATATTATTTTTTACAATAGAATTTTTAATCCTAATTAAAGCCACATATAATTTTTTAGAAATATACAAACGTTTTCAGATCAAGTTAAATCAAGTGTACCAACTTTATTAGCAAACGTTTTTGACAATGCCAGCACATAATACAGTAGTCGAACTTCGCGTGAGCAAGTCATTAAAATGAATGACAAAGATCAACCGTTTCACAAATGACATACGTAGAGTATCGGCGTTAGATTCGAGGTAGGAACGTCCCGAGTGCCCCGAGTTTGTAGATCGTTACACAATTTATTAATGATTTTTTTTTATACGTT